GTTCACGCTGGGTACGTTGAGGGCGCTGGAGTTCAGCAGGAAGCAACTCCGCCGTCATTCTTTCCACCGGAATGGACTTCCCCGTGAATGCCTCAATATCGGGCAAGTAGAACGCCGTATCCTCACACGCAAAGCTGTGTGCCTCACCAGAAGCCCCCGCCCGTGCGGTACGCCCGATGCGATGCACGTAATCCTCCGCTAATTGCGGCAAATCAAAGTTGAACACATGCGACACATCCGGGATGTGCAAACCACGCGCCGCCACATCGGTGGCAATCATCACCTGAAAGTCACCGGCCTCAAAGGCTTGCAGCAACTTTTCGCGTTTATTTTGACGCACATCCCCGGAAATCAGGTCAGACGTAATACCATTGGCTCGCAAGAAATCATCGATTTTCTCCGCAATATGTTTGGTGTTAACAAACACAATGGCGCGAAACGGCTGAAGCTTACGAATCAAACCAATCAGTAACGGAATTTTTTCCTCATTCGCCGGAAAATACACATGCTCAGCAATATTATCAGCCCGCACGGATTCCGCTTCGATCTTGATTTGCTGCGGATTATTCATGTGCTCGTAGGCCAACTCCAACACCCGTTGTGACAACGTAGCGGAAAATAGCATGTTCAAACGTTTCGCTGGCGGTGGCATTTTGTGCATCAAGAAACGCACATCTTGAATAAAGCCCATATCAAACATGCGATCGGCTTCATCCATGACCAAGGCTTGAGCATATTTGAGGGTGAAAACGTGCTGTTTCCAGTAATCAATCACCCGACCCGGCGTACCGATCAGCACATCCACAGGCTCTTCAAACTGACGGCGCTGCTTGTCGTAACCGGCTCCACCGTATACCAGCACTGAACGCAAACCCGTATGCTTACCCAATTCTTCAGCGTCACGCGCGATCTGGATTGCCAGCTCACGCGTTGGCGCAAGAATCATGCAACGCACTGTACCTGCTCCAGCATCAGGCAGCGGATTTTTCAATAAATGCTGGAAAACAGCTACCAGAAATGCCCCGGTTTTACCCGTGCCGGTTTGTGCTTGACCTGCAATATCCTGCCCCGCTAGCGCCAACGGCAAGGTTTCCGCCTGAATGCGCGAGCAGAATTCAAAACCGGTTTCCCGGATAGAGGCCAGCAAGCGCTCATCCAGCGGGAAATCGTCGAAACGTGTTTGACTTAAGTAGAAATTTTCCATTGCACGAGAATATCACACTGAATCAACAAGTCCTCACAAAAAGCACAGCAACTTTGAGGTATTTTTCAAGAAAACCTTGTAAAAGATTATATTGTCAACATAGCAATAAGCCGATGTCGACAATAGTACTTTATAATCTTAAATTTCGGATGAAATGTATTCTAATAGTCGACACTATACGATATTATCTTGTGCCTTCTTAATACCTGAACGACATATTGTCGACATCAAACAGCGCTACCGGAGGCGTCACATGAGTACAACAGGCACACTGGCACAACACCTTGCCAGCACGTTGGGACTGAAAAATTCACCAAACCTTTACTGGAACCAGTCTTCCCCGGTTCTATACGAACAAG